AAAAATGAAAGGTAGGGACGTTTTGCACAATAATATTGAAAGGTAGGGACATTTTCTGCTAATTATGCTAAAAAATAAAAGGTCGTGACGTTTTGTACAATAACTTTGAAAGGTAGGGATCTTTTGTGCTAATTACCTTTTTTATTTAACGGAGCATTTTAACAGACAGTTGACAGAAGGACGTTTTACACAAAAAAAAGGTAAAGGTAAAGGTGTAATCTGCCAAAAAATGAAAGGTATGGATGTTTTCCACGAAAACATCGAAAGGTAGGGATTTTTTTGCTAATTATCCTTTTCTTTTTATAACTTTTGGGTCCCAAATAGACAATTTTAGCCCCTGTTTTGGCCCTCATTAAATTAAATTTTATTTTTCTCTCTCCTATTTTCAATCATACAATCTTCCATAAAATAATATTACACATAAATCGAATTTTTTTTTCTTTTTCAACCACTTATTTCACCAAAAAAATACTATTCCACCCATTTTAATTTGAAAAAATGCGAGCGAAACGGAGGCTTACTCTTATATTTACACTCAATTTTATAGTAAAAGACCATTCTTTTGTTATTTAAAAATAAAATCTAGTGGGAGCTTGGGGACAACTGCGGAGGTTGGATTATTTATTTACTTATTTATTTTGGTTTCATTTTTGTTGTTTTTTAATTTTTTATTTAGGCTCTATTTGATATCGATTAAAATCATCTACTTATCAAGATTTGATATTTTGCAACAGAAACATGGAATAAAATATTTCATCTAACATAATATGCATGTTGCATGATACAAGTCGAAATTATTATGAATAATATTGAATCTTCAAAATGCACTATCAGATTGTCCATTATACGTTGAACAACCTTTGTCACTGATTGGAAAACTTTCTTTATCTATATAATTTAACAAAGATTGAAATGGTAATAAGAGAAAAGACAAAAATGAGTTGACAGGATGACTCCTACGTAGGAGCAGATTCAAGATTATCGTTTAGTGAGAACAAGACACAATTACGTAAAAATAAATTATTTCAAATAAATTGGGAAAGAAACTAAACAAAAATCCAAAAATTTGAATTTAAAACAGTCACATTTGAGATTTCAGTAGGGACGACGACGCCCACTCGTCCCTTCGTAGGTTAATTGAATATAGACTCACAAATCACCGACAACAATTAAATTTTTTGCTAAAAATCTTGACCAAATAGGGGCTTATTCTGTTTAATTGCATGTAAGGATGACATTGCCTTTTTAATACAGTAGTCATTTGGATCCAAATGTTACAAATATAAGGCTGGGAGTGAGGTAGTCAAAATATTAGGTTAGGGATCTATTTGGTGCAGTGTTAATAGATTGGAGACCCCGTATGTAATTATTCTAAATGAAAAGGAAAAAATAACGGAAAATTTCTGTAGCGGTCCCTAACCTTTTATTTTTTACCAATTTTACCCTAACTTTTATTTTGTGCCAACGAAGATCGTTAACCTTTCATAAATATGCATTTGATGCCTATCTGAATGGAAATCGTCCAAAACACCATCAATTGATAAAAAAATTTATTGAACTATCTGTTACCTCAATGATTTTATTGGACGTTGATACCTTTTTGGATAGTATTATTGCATATTGATTTCTTACTTTTTCTGGTCAGAAGACAGTGTTTTGGATGGTTTCCGTTCAAATGGACCTCAGTTGCATATTTATGAAAGGTTAGAAATCTCCATTATCACAAAATAAAAGTTAGGGTAAAATCTGTAAAAATGAAAAGGTTAAGAACCGTTGCTTCAATTTTCCCAAAAAATAATTATCCAGACACCAACAAGAAAAGTCCACGAGTCTTCTCTTTATGCTGCTACTTGTTCTTACTTTTCTTCCCTCAAATTCTGACATCAAAAACCCATCCAAATCACTTCTTCTATTTGTATGTATCAATAATTTCTTCATCCTTACTTTGATCTGGTGTTAGATTGGATCACTTCTCCTAGTGTCCCGCCAAAAAGAACAGTCTTATTTGGGGTAATTTGCATTTATGTGAAATTTGATGGATTTCTGTTGCTGAATTTTTTTATTTTCTTTGAAGTTTGTAATTTTTACGAATTTACTTGTGGGTTGTGTTTAATTTTATTTGTTTTATAATGGTGTCTGTTACCACATGTTTCCGATTGGTGGATGTTGGAAATGGTCAACTTTTGATATGAATAAATGTATGGATTTTGTTTTGGATGGTTCTCTGGTATAATTAGTGAAAAAAGCGATAGTTTTTAGTTGAATATCATTTTATTTGGGTTAACTTTTTGTTTAGGGTTTGGGCTGAGCTGTGAGATTTTGCTATTGAACTGGTTTTCTGTTTTGGCAACTCAATTAAGAATCGATCCTCTTGGAGTCTATGTTATTTTGGAAGCTGGATGTGTTATCTGCAAGACTAGTCCTCAACTTCAATTGGACATTTTAGGAAAGATATATATTTATATAAAAAACTGAAATTAACTTGATTGGTTCAACCCGACCCAATGGATTTTTATGTGGTTTTGAAATATCCATGCTTTCCAATCAAATTCCCTTTTTGAAATACATAATTTGGTTGCTTTCGTATGCATAATTTTTATTTACTAATCTTGTTTTTGTATGCTTTTTATCACGTTTTACTTTCATATTTGTACATCGTTAGGTCACTGAGTTCTGTGAATAATATTTTTACTTATTCGCCTTTGTGTAAATGTGAAATGCTATGATTTTTGTTCAATTTTGTTTATGTGTCTCTATGTTTTGAGATAAAGGTATTCACTTTTTTTTTAACAGATGGAAGATGAAAAGGTACCTGAGAACCATTTGTCGTCGGCCGCAGCTTTTGTCGAAGGGGGAATTCAGGAGGCATGTGACGATGCTTGCAGCATATGCCTTGAAGACTTTTCTGATAGTGATCCTTCAACAGTATGTATTAGGATAACATGTTGAACCGTAATGGATTTAATTTACTTATTGCCAAATTAATTGCACTTTTCCATTTGCAGGTGACTAATTGCAAGCACGAGTTTCATCTTCAGTGCATTCTTGAATGGTATAAGGATTGGCTTTCAATGAAAATTTTCTCGCATCAAATTATTTATTCCGTGGATTTGTGATGCATGATGATTTCTTTGCATCCCTCTAGGCAAGAAACTTAGTTCCATTTTGTGCTGAACTGATGTAACTTTGATATAGGTTCAGTAGCATAAGTTCAATAGCATAATTAGGAAATTACATGATTTAGTAAAAGTTGTTTGATCGAGTACATAGATTTTTTAGTTGTCCTTTCTCGACAATATAGGGGGTGGATGAAATAGGCGATCCAGTGACAAACTTATAACATAGAATGAATGGTTATGTTAACATAGATGATAGATCCTCTTGGTCAAAATTTTCAAATTGATCTGGCATTATTCTTGTTCTTAACTTCAGCTTTTGTAAATTCAAGTATTGATTTTGATGAATTTGTTATATATGTATAGTTATTTTTTTGCTACATAGGAGGATTAATATTATGCAAATTGTTATAAGAAAGGGTAAAACTATTTTAAGTAAAACAGGGTTATGAGGTGGTCTTTTTATTTATTTATTATTATTTTTTTTTTTAAATCAAGATCAGGATTTCGGTTTTATTGTGAATCTATGGAATTATTTTATTTTGAATTTTTAGATTTAGAAGTCTAGGTTAATGTTAATATGCTGCAATTTGCATAAGAAATTTACTTTTATATCCCCATATCATGCATAGAAGGCACATACCTGTCATGTCGTCCTTGGTTCTAGGAAATGCTGGATATGTCAATTTTGCTTAAGTTTCTTCTTGTTCTGCTCTTTGGTAAATCTAGTATCACTCTGACTTGAATTTTCGTCACCACTTGCTTAATGGCACCTACCTCAGTTAATCAGTTAATGTAACATCTTCACATGACTGAAAAGATAGCTACTCTACATAATGATTTATCTTTATTTTTCTTCGAATCTACCTATGGCATTTTAGATAAGAAACCTCATTTTATTATTATTATTTATTTATTTATTTATTATTATGATTATTAATTTTTTGAGGGAACTAGGTTATTTCTGTCTATTGTTGTGTATCAGTATAATGTTTTGATAAAGTCTTTCATTATTTTGCAATAAAAATAGGTGCCAGAGAAGCTCACAGTGCCCAATGTGTTGGCAAACCATCAGCCTGAAGGATCCCAACTGGTATACCAACTTGGCCTTTCTCCTTTTCAAGTTTTTAGTGATCTTACTTGTTGAGGGCCCATGTTATGCATTATTTGACAGCCAAGAATTGCTCGATGCTGTGGAACATGAGAGGAATCTGAGAATGAATCCACCTAGAAACACCACTATTTTTCATCATCCAACCTTGGGAGACTTTGAATTGCAGCATGTTCGTGGTTCATTCCTACGCTTATAAACATTTTCCCCCTACTCACTTATGTTGTGACTTCATAATGTGAGTTCAAATAATATTTTCTGTAACTTCTGGTTCAGTTACCAGTTAGTGCAAGTGATTCTGAACTTGAAGAACGCATTATTCAACACTTAGCTGCTGCTGCTGCAATGGGAAGGACTCGTCAGCTTGGTAGGAGGGAAGGTCATAGGAGTAGGTCATCTACTCAAGGCCGTCCCCATTTTCTGGTGTTTTCAACTAATCCAAATTCTTCCTCCTCTTCTGCTTCTTCCCCTGCTCACAGGGGTGGAGTTGGAACACCTCCTGCTGTCATGATAGCTGGCCCAAATTCTCCATTTATTACTGTAGAAGATGATTCTGCACAACTTACTACACAACCATCTCCTGCTCAAGTTGATCAGGTTACAGCCCCAACATCAGGATCAATTGCTGTTGCAAATCAACCTGGAACTTCCTCTAGCAATCGGTACTTGTGTTTCTTGATCTTTGTTTTAGTTTTTTCTACCCTCGTAAAGAATCAGTCGTGTGTATTGTATGTTGTTCAGTACAGCTTAGTCTTTAAGTCGCCTTGCAGGAGGTCTCCTGCTCAGACTTCCCCAAACAGTCAAGATAGAGCTGGACCATCAGATTTGCAGTCATTCTCAGATTCTCTCAAATCTCGACTAGGTGCATTGTCAACAAGGTATAAGCATTGTTCTAAAAAGCGTAAAACGTATGTAGGCGTGGAGCCGGAACTTCAAGCTTTACGAGCCTAAGCGACGCTTAGGCGTAAAAATACATTTTCTTATTTATAATATTATTTTAATTTTTTAATCATTTTAAAAATTATTCAATAATTAAAATAATATATATTAAACATCTAAAATTTTAAAATACAATATTTACTCAATAACTCCTACCATTAGTCAATTATACAATTTTCAAGTTTTTGAAATGTAAAAATAAGAATACTTTTCATAGTTTTAATTTTCAGTTAGACAAGTCCTACTTAATAGATTTATAGGAACTTCATACGTGCTTTTGAAGTTTGTAATAAAATGAATCTCAAGGTCATAATTACATAATGCAGATTACACTAAAACTTAAATCTTATTTAACTATTTAGATAGAGTCAATTTTAATGTTTGTACGGATAAAATCATTTTAAAACTTGAAATTAAAGTCAAATGAATTTATTTTTTTTAAATAATAATGAGTTAAAGTAAAATAAAAGACTTCTTAAAAAAAAATTAAAAAAATCTAATAAAGCGTGTCTACGGAAGACAGAAGAAAGGAAGGAGAAAATTCAGCCATCTAGGAATTGGAAAAAAAAGCGTCTAGACACGAAGCGAAGCGTTCGCTTCGAGCCTAGACACATACTTTTTAGAACACTGGCTATAAGGAAACGGAGTATATCATTTGCTCTTCAGGTCCTATTTTAATGTTGTACTTTTCTTTTCAGGTTATCTCGTAATTGATTTCAAATTTAAAGATTCCGGTCATGTTTCAATATCAAGTTGTGTACCTTCTCTAGTGAGATGGTTATAGATTTCTAAAAACCATTTTTTATGGTAGATGCAACCCCCTTTTACTTTTTCCAATGAATGATCTATATCTGGATCTTTTTGAATGGCTCTAGAGAGCTTTGATCTTTATTCAGAATGGTCAGGTTATGTCTTTTCAATTATCGACCTTCAACTTAACTGGAAGCGCAAAAAAAAATAAGAGCAGAAGAAAAAATAATTCTATGGTGTAGATCTTAAAAGTCGCAACCAAGCAACTTAAAATTTAGATTTCATGAAGAGACTCCTACTCTAGGATAGAGGAGGCAAGTTCTTCTTTTGGCGAGTCTTTGGAATGAACAATTTGTTTTTCCCCCAGATACAAAGAGTCGATAACCAAGAGCACAAGAGGCTGGAAGGAGAGACTGTTTGCTCGCAATAGTTCAACGCCAGACCCTTCCACTGAGGTTCGTAGTTCAACGCCAGACCCTTCCACTGAGGTTCGTAGAGATGTGGATCCAGATATTGCACCTGTATCCCGCATGATGGATCATCTTGAAATAGCAGAAGATAGTGGAACCAACATTGCCTCTGTATCAAATGATATGGAGGATAGCTCAACTCCAGTTCCAGCTGAACAGCACACCTTAGAGATGGGTGGCAACCCTTCTTTGACCGAGGACAATGCACAAGCACCATGTACTTCTAGTACTGCGGCAACCTAAGTTTTGATTCAATAGTTGCATCAACTCATGGATTTCCTTTTCATGGTAAGCCTTGTTCTATTTAGCTATCGGCTTTTGCATCTAGATATTGAATAATAAGATCGTAAATGGTTCTACATACCCGGAAATGGTCCTCTTGTTGTTCTTGTCATTTGCAAGATTGATTTAGTCTTGGCATTTGTAAGGTGAGAATCAATCGCAAGATTGTTTATAGGTTCTTTAGATTGAAATTTATATAGTGCTCTTCATATCCCACCCAAATGGCGAATATTGGATGTGCTTGTACACTTGCTATAATATTGTAATCTATGTTTTGCTTCAACTTTGAGGTATTTTGATATCGTAATCTATATTTTTCTTTAACTTTGAACTTTCCGCTTAATATTGCATTCTAATCAAGGAATTTGTTGATGCACAAGATTATCCTTGCTGCTGAACTGAGGTTCTCGAACATGACTGCTTAAGCGATTTATTAAAGCCTGTTTGGTATAGTAGATTCTGCTTCCAGTATAGGATCTTATGAGAGTCAACTTGGGCCAGCTTTGTCTAAAAGCTCTTCTAAGCAGACATCGCACTTCCAGAAAGTTATTCAAACAATTTTAAAAGTAGCTTTTTGTTTTTCAAAACCTATGCCAAAAAAACCCTTGATCTAGTGATTAGCTTCCCATCAAACAGTTAAATGGTGACTGGATTTCGTAAATCACTTTTACGATAGGATATTTTCATGACAAGACCATTCATTCCTTTATACACGCTTTCCTACTATCGGGGATTGTCTAATTGTTTTCTATGGTTTCTTTGTCATCAGGTGAACTCCTTTATTCATATATTTTCACTGCTGCTGTAATGATGCTTCATCTCTCGTCCGGCGTATGGTAATCCTAAACCGACATGTAAGAGTGCACTCAGATTGTCTGAGATCTCCAATAAACGAACCTTGCTCTTGATTTATACCTTTGAACTGAAAGTATTTGTAAAGTAGTCTATGATTTCAACTTCATGTTTGTTTATATGTTGGATAATTGACGATTAATTCCGAAAATTTATTTCGAGTTTTGAGAATGTTCTTTGTGTTCCCACTCTGTGTGTAAATTGAAAATTTTAAATTAAAAATGGTGACAAAAAAAAGAAGCTGCATTTGCACTAGCTGGCATGGCCATCTTTACTTTTCTCGAAAGTACCAAATATACCCCTCAATAAGTTACTTTCNAAGAAGCTGCATTTGCACTAGCTGGCATGGCCATCTTTACTTTTCTCGAAAGTACCAAATATACCCCTCAATAAGTTACTTTCCGGCATTATTTTGTCTGGGTAGGTCGTTGCGCTTCTATCATCTACTTGTCAAAGGAGGAAGTCACAATGGTGGGGGGGCGTCAAAGGTTGTTGCCTTGTGACCAACTCAAAGAGGTGAAATTAAGCATAAAAATGAAAATTCTAACATGGAAAAAATCGTCGTTGTTAAAATCAAAAGCATGGATGTAATGGCACGGGGTTAAAGTGCAAAAGCATGGATGTAATGGAATGGGGTTAAATACATTAATGGTTATCAAACTTTATACTTAAGGCCTGATTGATAGAGCTATTTTTCATGGTATTTTCACCCAATTTGTGTTGTTTGATTCCCAAAATTTTCTATGGAATTATTTTTCCACTTCTCCCTCACGTGAAGGCATTTTTCTTGGTTTTGAAAGAATTCCAATTTCTTGGGTTTGGGTGAGAAAATAAGTTTTCCACATTTTTTTTTTGGCAATGAAAACAAATTTTATCCACAATTGTAAAAAAAAAAAAAATATATATATATATATATATTTAATTGACAATTTTTATTAAACATAAAGCTAAACGGACACAAAAAGATCTAAAATTTAAACACTTTTTAATCACACGACCTTCAATAAAATAATATTACACGTAAATAAAAAAAAATCTTTTCTTTTCAACCACTCATTTTTCAAAAAAATACTATTCAAAATATTATAATCTCCAAATAATGGGGTTCAAACGGGGGCTTAATTAACAGTTCCCAATAAAACAAGTTTGAAACATTCAATTTCTTGAAATTCGTTTTCTTTCTACCTAAATTTCATTCTTACAATCAAACGGACCCTTAGTGTCATCACGATCATCCGATTTGAATTTGTTTTATCATATCTACTCAACTTTATAATTAGTGTCACCATGGCAATTGGATTTGATTTTATTTCATCATAGTCATCAAATTTTATATAACATTTCACCATAGCTACCTAACTTTTTTTTTTTACCATTTTCACTAATTTTAAAAGGAATAGTACGGTGACTTTGCATAATATATAAATATATATATTTTTTAAAAGGCAAAAATAACATAAAAAAATATTTTAAAAAAGGTTGCTTCAAAAAATAAAATAAAATAAAAATGTTTTTTTAAAATTAAATGAAAACCTTTTTTTTTTGTGGGAAAAAATGTGAGAAAAATAAAATAAAATAAAAACTTAATTTAAAAAATGTTTTGAAAATTAAAAAAATACTTCTATTTTTTTTTAAAATTTATTTTACCTATATAATGTAAAGTTACAATTTTATCCCTTTTAAATGATGAAAGGAAATTGGGTAGTCATGGTAAAACGTTATATAAAATTGAGTGGTCATAGTGACACTATGTATAAAGTTGGGTGATTGATACTAAATTTAAAGTTGGGTGACCATTGATGGATTCAATCCAACGAGGATATCATCTTTCTTTTGTAATAATTTGTCTTGCTAAAAATTTATAAAATGCTCTCATAAATGTTAATGAAAATCGATTTTGATTAGGAAAAAAAAAATGGACCAGACAAGCTAAGTTTCTCTTTGAGCCAATTTTTTAACACCTCCATATTATTTTTATCAAGTTCAATGTTACAACGACGAAATTGAATGTACCAATTGTGGCACTTTGAAATTGTAGCAACGGATTAAAGTTTAGTTGAGAAACATATTAAAGTTTAGTGCTTGTTTGATAAGGATTTTGTTAATTGATTTTTTGATCGTTAGAGATAAAGTGGGTCTTAGATGTGAGAGAAAAATTCAAAAATAACGATTAAAATAATGAAATAACGATAAAAAAATTGATTTTAATTGACTAAAAATTTGCACCAAACAAGCTCTTAGTTGAGAGGATGGCCAATGGGACGGTAGACAAAATTAGCTAACAAAAACAAGGAATTGAAAAACTTTAGGGGTCAAAACGAAAATATAAAACAATCCCAAGGACCCAACTGATGATATAAATTTCATAGCTTCGCCCCAGTTTGGATTCTACGCTGCACGACGCTAGATTTTAACTATCAACAATGTCTGGAGAAGAAGAAGAAAACGCCGCCGAACTCAAAATTCCTGATGGTATTCATTTTTCTCCACTAATTTTATTATCTCCACGCTTTCATCAAACGACAAATCACACGAGCACCTTTTTTTTTGGGTAAATGATTCGAGTTGATTTTACGATTTCAATGATTTCTTTTAATTGTGTATTATTTAATGTAAGCGCATAATTTACTGTGTCGAATATAATTGCTGCTAGAGATAGTTTTTTGTTTGATCTTATCAATGTTCTAGTTTAACCCCTAAATTGTACGAGGATGCTCAATTTTTGCAAATTGGAACATGTAAAAGAATCGATAAGGTGAAGTATCTGTAAATTTGTCATACTGGAGGCTCGGTTTCATTTTTCGTGTTAAATTTAATTTTGTTGTTGTTCTTGTCTGGTCATTCCTTTCGTAGAGGTGATGCTTATTCGCTGAAGAAGAAGAATGATGCTTGATTTTCATTTCATTTGTTGTTCACAAATATAAGGCCTCTTGCATCAGAGGAGTGGCAATCGTATAGAAATGCGTTAGAATTTTATATTCTCCTAAGAAATCTCAGTTTTTCTGAAACTATATATACACAATGTTTTGAAAGTCTTGCCTGGTCAGTTTTTCTGTTTTTGACGTCAACAATCACGATAAGAATAGACTTTCTCCAAATATATTTTTAAGCATAAAGATGGAGTACCAAACTATGACAAATTTATAAGTGAAATTATGTAATCTCATGAGATCTCTGAAAGTAAAGTTTTTTTCTGATTGTCATATCTCTTTCTTGCTCTTATGCTTACTACGCTTATCTGTGGACATAACCTGAAATTTTCATGTAATTATTTGTTCAGAGTTTTTGAAGGCTAAGTGTCTGATGAACTGTGAAGTTGCTCTAATTCTTGAACACAAGTATGAGCAGCTTCAGCAGATGTCTGAGGATCCGATGAACCAAATATCTCAGTGAGTATATTAAGACACACTTTCAAATTTCTTCTTTCTTTTATTTTCTAACTTTTCGTGCTTTTTTTCTTTCCTTATGTCAAATTTAATCTATGAGAGGATGATGTATTATGATATTGATGTTGGCATCTGTTTACATTTACTCGCGATAAATCTGGATCACCCTCTATGCTTCAATTATACTATTTGTATGTATTGGATGAAGGAATTTCAATTTTGTTGGTTCTGGAATGCTTAGGATTGAAATTGAGATGAGTTTGTCCCATAAGAAGCACTTAGGCATACCTTGGCATATTCTTCATGCATGAATAGTTTCTTTTGATCATTTTCTTGATTTTGAAAGCTTGTTTGGTGAAGAATAAGTTAAATTTTTTTCCAGCACAAAATGAAAATGCAGTTTCACAGCACAAAAGCATATTATGTTTCTCAGTTTGATACTAAATTGAAAAAGAAAAAAGCACTGTGCCATGAGGGATTATTAATGTTTCCATATCTGGCTTTCTAGATTATTATTCCAGGATTTATGATGCATTTTATCTTAAAAGGGGAGAAATTGAATAAATTATGAATGAAATAGGGGATAAAATGGAAGGAAGAGGAATTTTGTTGTTCTTGTTTGGTTTGAGAAGATCAGACAGAATATTACTCGAAAGGAGTGCATATTTATTGGTTCAAAAAGAAAATTATCTTGTTTCTTCTGTTCTTTTTAGAGATAAATGATGACTTGTCTCGTTTGTTTTGGGTGTATGAGGAAATATGGTGTCTTGTTTCATGTCTTTCAAAATCTAGGTCTTCTACCAAAGTTCAGTTTATCTTGTTTTGGAAAGAATGTCACATTTGAACCAAGAATATATGATTATGATATCATAAAGTGTGTTAAATTGTGGTTATCTTTCTTCTTCTAGGGTTTTTGAGAAGTCACTTCAATATGTGAAGCGCTTCAGCCGTTATAAGAATCCTGATGCTGTCAGACAAGTTCGAGAGTATCCATCTATGATGATTTTTTCCTTATGTTTTATACTTCTACATACACCATTTATGATTTATCTGATGATTGTTTTTTATGTTAATCCTTGTTTAAGTACGGCACGCAAAGAAACTTAAGCACTGTAGTTTTGGATTACGGACCATTACTGTATTTGATTTTTTTCCCCTAATTTTACTTCTTTTTCTACTCATTTCACCCTTTGGCTTATACACCAACCAACTTTTTACTTCGGGGCGGTTCCTCAATATCTATTCAGGGTTCATATTCCAGAAGTTGCTTTTCTTTCTTTGTGCTTCAGATAGTAGGACACAAGACAGTCCTGCTTCACGTATTGTTTCTTCTATGCTCACTTGCAGATGGTTTATAAACAAAGTACATTGATGAGAAACATCAATATGCAGAACTTATTTGGATTAATTTATTTTGTTCAGTTTTATGTATACCTATTACATGGAGGTCTTGAGCTAGCACCAATATGTTAGAAACTTGCACTTTTATCTAGTATCTGGTTTGCAAGTGCTGTTATCTACTTTGAATTGTCCCTTTTTTTTTTTAATATTTAAATTCATTTTATCGAGATGCTTAAAAATGAAGCACATACATTCTTTCTTTTCTACTGATTGTACATATAAAACGCAAGGAGACACTAGCTTTTCCTCGTATAATTATAGTTCAAATTGTTATTTCTACGTCAGGTTTTAAATATTTCTGTTGCTTGATATAAATTATGTTTTGGGGGCATGAAGATTGAAGTCTGAAGCTCATGCTATCATGGACGTCTGTTATATCCAATAGAAGGATACTTGTGATCGTGTTATGCGGATAATATATATATATTTTTTTCATTGTTTCAATTGTTTTATTTCAAGTAAACAATGTGAACCTTAACTCAAGGTCAGAATTCTCAGTCGATATCAGCTGGCTGAATTCGAGGTAATTATTTGCACTTACCAAGCAGAGATATCTTCCGTACCTGATGAATATCCTAATATCTTATTTAATTAACGTAATATGCAGCTTTCTGTACTTGGGAACCTTTGCCCAGAGACGGTGGAGGAAGCTCTTGCCATGGTCCCATCTATCAAGGTACCTTAGCCTCTACCACTAGTAGACATGGTTTATGCATTTTGTGGAGAAATCTTGGATCCAAATGATTACGTATGCCGAATAATACTGCCTATTTGAGTCCACCAGTGGTATCATGAACCGATATCTGTCTAAGCTTTTCTCGCTCGTGCCTCGTATCTTTCTTTCCATTGCATGCAATTTTTTACTGTGTGGACGAGTATATGTAGCTCTCACGTTGATAACTTCTATAAATTTTGGGTGTTTACTTTTGCGTGTTGTTACTTAGTTTTGTATATTTTGCAGACTCGAGGACGAGCACACGATGACGACGCGATTGAGAAAATGCTGAATGATCTCTCTCTAATCAAGAAATTCGAATAGTTCTTTGTAATGTAATCTGGTCTGAAATATTTGGGGCTTCCATTTCTAGTATTGCTGTAAAACAGGTTTGTGGATCTTTCATTCACCTTCCTAATGTGCATGTTTGGTAGCACTTAAAAAATTACTTTTATAGAAAATAAATCTAGAAAAGTAAGTTTTATTAATATAAAAATAACTTAATCATGTTTGGCAATTTCGGAAAAGAAAATAAGCTGCTATTCTGTAGCTTATAGTAATGAGAAGCATTACTGCTGAAAGTGAAACAACTTTAAAAGAGCATTTTATAATCTTAGCTGAACAAGATGTAAATAATATAAAATTTCACTTATAAGCACAACCCAACATAGTTTTGTCACGTGAATCTGCCATTGTTTTGAAAGAGAAGCTATGGTTTGAAGATGAACCAAAATTAATATCTTTCAGAGACGTACCAAGCAAATCGGGAGCCTGTGGGCAAAATTTTTTAAGAGGGTCTTTGAGAAAATATGAAAATGGAGAAAATGATCATTAACAGAGACTTAGCATTGTCCAACCAACGTACTAAACTGAAACGACGAATTGCTTAAATGAATAATATGGGCTAAATTTTTAAATGATCCATTTCTGTTTCTCATTTATCCTTGAACTCAAAAAGTGAAAGCAGTGCCCAAAATTTGGCTCTTGTTTGGTCCATTTTTTCAATTTTTTTTTTTTTTTTTAAATGAGTGATTGAAAAAAATAAAAATTAGACTCTCGTTTGGCCCCCTTTTTTTTCAAATATTTTCTTTTTAAAAATGAGTGGTTGAAAAAGCTTTTTATTATGATAAAAACTAATAACTTATGTCAAAATAAGTAATATAAAAGTTTCATGTATTTTTAAGCACAACCAAACATTTTATTTCCCGTAGCACAAGGAAATAATAAAGTTCACTGCCTGAAATTCTTTACATAATCTGTAGTAAAACAAGCACTTCTAATATTCTCCTTGCATCAACACACGAAAAACAAAGACCAAAATGCTAAATCAAGCTTTTAATTTCCCGGATTTTTATTGTGTAAAAGAGAAATTCCATTGGGTTTTGAAGCACGTCCAATTTAGACCGACCTCAAGCTCTGTTCTGCAGCCACTCGTAGAACTTCATCTGCGCAGCCATCGTATCCAACCTGTAAAGCTGGAACCAGTGGTTCGCAACTTCGAGTCCAAAACAGCTGCCGGTGACAGCTCCAAAACCGAAAGCCAGTGCTGCGCCTGTCGAATGCAATAGAAGTTAGCGAGTATTATTCCAATCAAACCCAAATATTGCAGCTAGATGGTAGCTTCTCAAACCATAGATTCATGCTAGTTTGAAAAATCCCTCGTCTTAAAGGTCAACAAAACCATTAGTTAGGTAAGAGCTGAGAGATGACACTCGAGGTCAAAAGAAGACCAGTCACCCGCGTGCAGAAGACAGAAGTTCATTAGCCTTTTTGTCGCATGTTTTGGACCTCTTCCCCGTCCCTTAGAAAAAGTGCACGTTATAAGATACTATCATACTGCCTCGAAAGTTGGACCTCGAATCCATTATCACAATGATCCAATTGCAAGTACACCAGCAAAACTGGAGTAAGCGGATTGGCATAGCCTGTGTGAGCTTTACCAAAAAGCATTTATAACAGCTATTATCTTGCTAATACACAGTATTTATCTAAATTGGATGTATGTAACGAACATTTCACAGTAAACAAGATTTCGTCTAAGAATTTCTTCCTTAACAAAAGGAGGAAGAACAAAAAGGCAAAAGAAAACGTGAGAATGAGCAAGAGATGGAACATTGGTTTGCTGGTTATCCAATTGAACACCAATGTGGACGTCTTCCAATCTAGTGAGCTAACTTGTAATCATGTCAATAACCCGATGAGAGGGTTTGAACAGTAATTTCATCTCTATCAAGAAAAATGAACTATGAGAAATATAACTCTCAGAGAAGTCATCAAGAGGCAACTCCATAAGTATTTACATGATCTCACATCCACCTGAGCCAGACAAAAAAGACTCATGGCACAACAAACAAGGAACAAGGAATGAGAAGCAATTCAAGAAACAGGAATATGTAAGTAGAGAACAGAAAGCCACCACTAATTACCTAAATCCAGGCTGTAACAGTTTTCTGAAGATTATTTTATAGCTGCCTACACCAGCAGAGTGTTATGCCCAAAGTAGAAGGATTTAGCAATATTACATGGTCATAGTAGTGCTCCTGGAGTTTAACTACCTAAAATTGAAGTAAAGAAGAAAATACACTTTTTCTTTTTCTTTTTTTAAAATTCAATAGCCATCATCACATCTTCTCCTTTTGGATCCAACAAGGTTCAGAAAGGTTTACGGAATTCAAAAAAACCAACGACTTGAAGCTAATGCACAAAAGATTATTCCGTCAGCTATCAGCCTATGAAAGTCGTATTTTTAACCAGATACCAGTTCTTCTAATAGTTACACATCCTTTCTCAATCTTTCGTGAAAAATAAGACTCATTAAATTTCTGCAATCTAAATTTTGTGGCTCATCTATCATCCAATAAATAATTGATACAATCAAATGAATAGACTTTTAGAACCATATATCCATTTTTTCATTCAATAATATCCTCAATAAATTCAACAGAACACTACAGAAATCAACAAAAAGGAACATTGATTATCTTTAGGGAAAGAAAAAAATAAAATGGATAGCACACTAGGAAATGAAACTACAGAATATAAACAGGTGAAGATCAAGGAAACAAACTTTCAACATATATTTATGTGTGTGGGCGTATATTTAGCAGCACAATTGTTGTATACAGCAAATATCAGCAAAGAATGGATCTGAGACTAAGAACTCCTTCAATTTTACTCCACATTCCAATGAAACTTCAGAACATTTAAATTATCACAGCCATTTCTGCAATGGCTACCACCATAATCTCATCCATCTCCCAACCCCAGCATTATGTCATTCACTACAGAAAAAATGATACCAACAATAATATTATTGCATTTCCCTCTCAATATCTTTATTCATTGCCCATCCCTCCAGAGTGCCTGACTAAGATGGTTTGTGGATGTTTGCATTTGGCTTATAGTGCACGTTATGGTTTAAGCTTCTACACTCAGCTACCAGAAAAATCTTCAGAAATCCTGTTGTTATGAATTAATGCATGCCATATATGGATGTTTTCAAGTATAAATGCTCAAACATGGACATTCAAGTTAAAAGTAACAGTCAACTCCATCAAAATTTCAAATAATGGACACCAATAGAATCACAGACAAAAAGGGAAAAGATTTTCAGCTTGTTTAAGAGAGGAGAGTCCAAATCAGTATCTTCTCAATACAAAAATGCATTGGAATTTTCTGATTATCTTATTCCCCCCCCCCCCCCCCCCCCCCCCCCCCCCACAAATGGGTATTGAAAAGAGATTGGCGTCACTCTCCCCATTTAAAAACCAAACGACATCATTTTCATCTGATGAAATGAGAAAAAAAATAAAGGAAATTGCTGAAGGATGACACATATTTGCAACACCTGTCCGGATGAAAAATAGCACTTCTTAGGCTCTTTTATATATGTAGGATATGTTGAAGTAACTTGGCCAAATCAAGAGTATGAAAGAAAGAATGCAGACTTATTCTCATGTTCTACGGGAGTGTCAGTTACATGATAATTTTGAGCACTTGTCAAAAAGTATCTGCTGGATCCCAAATGGCATTATTAACAAGGTATCATGTGAAATTATATAACTAATAAAATTCAAGGATGCAGCCATAGTATACCATGAGCACTTCGCGAGTACTTCCAACAGTAGCCAGCTGTTGTAACTGCTCCTAGGACCGCACCTGCAGCACCAAATTGAGCTGCTTCCCTGGCAGTCTTGAGCTGAAAAAGGAGGAGACCGGCAAGCAAAAAAAGTGGTTTCAGAAAATTATAGGAAGAAGAAATGTTAAAGACTGCCTAAAAAGCATCAAAGACAATGAAACATCGAATTCAACTATCTAGTTTGAGCATACAGTGCTAAAGGCACACAGGAAGGGGGCGGGCAAGGTGAAAGAGATAGGTATTTTCAGAAGCCAAGTTCCATCAAATCTAATAACAATATAACACAGAAATTACACCTATAATATATAAACAGCTATTCACGCGTCCATTTGTATAATCACACACACAAAAATCGGAGACAGATTGAGGTTCATACAGTGGGACCATGGACGGGATCGGAGGCAATAAACTCTTCCACAACAGAGCTATCCCAATGGGGCAATGGCTTCTCTGGGTTGAGAACTCTCGAATAGTTCTCCAAAAACGAAAATCTCTCGGCCCAGAACTCCTTGTAACCTTCCCAGTGTCGCTTGAAGAACGATTTTTGGTCCTGGGTTTCACTCATTCTTGATTTCGGTGTCAAATATAACACAGAAATTACACCTATAATATATAAACAGCTATTCACGCGTCCATTTGTATAATCACACACACAAAAATCGGAGACAGATTGAGGTTCATACAGTGGGACCATGGACGGGATCGGAGGCAATAAAATCTTCCACAACAGAGCTATCCCAATGGGGCAATGGCTTCTCTGGGTTGAGAACTCTCGAATAGTTCTCCAAAAACGAAAATCTCTCAGCCCAGAACTCCTTGTAACCTTCCCAGTGTCGCTTGAAGAACGATTTTTGGTCCTGGGTTTCACTCATTCTTGATTTCGGTGTCTTCAATGATTTAGATTTCTATCAAAAATTCTCTCTAATTCTTTGATTTCGCCTGTGGATTTAGGTATTTTTGGGAGGTGGGATCTGTAATATGATGATTGTAAGATGGTATCTTGATCTGCTGCTGCGCGTCTATGGTATAGTGCCTCGCACTGGACCAAAGTGTGTAAGCACGTTGCGCTCCCCGCTCCGCAACCCCCTCTCCCCACCCCCCCCCGCCCCCCTCCCCTGTTTTCAATTTCTGTGATTTAATTTTCAGAATTTTTTACTTCAAAACCTTTGTACATGTACTTTTATGCGGATTTTCTTATGATAATTTTTTGTTAAGAATAGGTAAATATGGTTTTTATTTTCTAAATAAAGCTAGAAAATTTTCTATGCAAAACCACTTGAAACATTACGTGTTTAATGTACTAGTTTTATTGCATATATTTTTTTAATATTGTTTAGTTGTATACCGAACAAAATATAAACAGTAAAACAGATACAATTAGGGGAAATACCTCAAATTGACCTAAATAAAGGAAGGATTTTCCAAAATAGCTTTTGACTTTTCTAAACATTTTGAACTACCTAAAACACCCTTAAACAAATATTAAAAAAAAACCCTTTATCTAATATAAATCTTCTATTTAAGTCCTTAAATAATTAACAAATAATTTTCTAAAAATTTGTGAGAATTATTAATGACTAATTATAAAATAGAAAAACCCAAATATAAGAGAGGACAATATAATATAAAAAAGGTTGTTAAAAATAAAAAAGAAATTAAGTTTGAAAAAGAAATTGATAAGATAGGATATCAAGAACAATTATATGCATCACAAGAAATATTAAAATGTTTCAAAGAAAACTTATTAGAAAATTTTGCTAAAGGAATTGTAAGAACAATAATTATAAAAGATATACAAGATATCATAGATAAATTGGAAAAAAGGAAGAAAAATATTTCAAAATATGATATACCTTTTAGAACATATATAGATATGATAACAGATATTGATATTATAAATTCTTAGACATTATTAGATTTTGAAGAATTACTTAAAAATTTATAAGAAGGCTAATAAAAAATAAATTATCACAAACATACAAAAAATTAGTCTTTATCTTAAGATTTTATTTACACCTAATAGTAAAAATAAAAGAGTTTTTGGAATATAAAAATTTTAGATTTTTAGATTATTAGATTTTTGTTCGCTCATAGTAGCACCCTCACAGTTGGTATCAGAGCCATAGAGATCATGAGAAAATATATAAAAAATAAAAGATATTGAAGATTGAAAAATAAGGAAAAAACTCAAAAGATTATGATTTTAGAAATTATTGAAACTTATAAAAATAGACTAAGGTACTAGGTAAAATATAGTTATGACATAGAAGACTATATAGAGGAAGATAATATAGTTGGAACATATAGTAAAGATATAAACGAAGTATTAGAAATTTTTAGAATAATCAAAAATTTACCTTTAGAATTAAAAGAGAAAATAATTAAAAAGATATTATTTGAAGAATATAAGTATATATATATATATATATTAAAAGTAATCCAGAGAGATAGATTTCATAATAATCTGAAATTACTATGGAAATCATAAAAATAAATAATTATTATCAATGTATTGAAGAAAAAGGATGTTATATATTTTACAACCTCATCCCTAATAAATTAGAAATAATAACATTATATATAACTAGGAATTTACCTAGAGAAATAAAGGAACAAATATTACATAAATTAATTGTAGGATTTATCAAAGATAGACGTACATATGAAATAATTTGCGAAATATTTGAAAATGAGTTGTATCATAGAGAAATATATGAATCATCGTAAGAATATAATGGAAAAAACTAAAAATATTTTAGAAAGGAAGTTAGAAAGAATAAGATTAATAAATAATAAAATTTTAGATAAATTATTAATACCTGGAGAAATAACTAAAACTCAAGAAAAACAAATATTAAAATTAAAACAAGAAAGGTATAAAGAAAAAGCAAGGTATTATGAAAAATTAAAAGAAATAACAAATCTTGAAGAAATAAAACAAAAATATGATAAAATAATAAAAGAATGTAAAAATACTAAGTGTATAGTATTTTATTATTGTCAATCAAAAAATAGATAAAATGTCAATCAGTGAACATATGGAAGAATTAAAACATTTAATAAGAACATTAATAAATGATGTACAAGAAATTAAGAATGAAATAAAAGAAGCTAGAAATGATATAAATATATTAAAACTTGAAGTTAGAAAATTAAAAGAAATGAAGAAAAGAATAATGGAGTAGATAAAAAATTTATAGAAAAAGAAATAACCAGAATAAGGAAAAAAACATATTGAAATGAAAAATATAATAATAGAAACAGGAAGCATGGATGATGAGTTTAGAAAAAATATATTACCTAAAATAATTGAAGAAGAGGAATCTAGAGAAAAAATATTAGGTAAACAAAAAATTGAAGAAAATCAGGACAAAGAAGATGAATGAAGAATTAGATCTACTTATAGATAATTTTGATCATTTAAGTTTAGAAAGTATAGATGATGAATACCAAATCTTAATGAATACTGGAGGAGTACCTAATCCCGTAGGAACCTCTAAACAAGAATCAATAGATCCAAATGAAAGCTATGCTCCAATGTATAATAAACCATATAGGCAATTTTATGATAAAATAAGAGATAAACAACCGTCCAAAGGAAATAAATACAGTAATAGATTTGAATTAAATAATAATTATGATAAACCTGTTAACCATGGAGGAACAAAATTA